TCTTCAGATTCTCGGCCATTAGATTTATAACCTGCTGTACTGTCTCCTACTGCCTCTCTACAACAGGGATATCACATTAAAACCCACAGTTTATAGCAAAAGGAGGGAGGAGCCTCATTCATTCAAAAAATTGTATTGAGCTGCCATTGCGTGTAACAAAAAACAAGGCTGATAAAGTCCCACCTTCATGGTGCTTATAGAACCAGATATTTTAGAGAACATATGTGGACTGACTTCTCTTGCTCTTTCGTTTTCTTCAGTTGGTGAGAAACAGATACACAGAAAAGGAGTTTTGAGGGAGGTGAAAGAGAGGGAGGGAAGTGGAGGAGAGAGAATGAGGTGTATAAGAAGGAGAGAGGGAGAGAATATCTCCCAAAGGATGCTCTCAGAGAGGGAAATATTTGGCTGCTGCTGCTGCTGCTTCTTTTTAAAAATTAATTGTGGTTAGCTGAACTGTATGAAACTCCTTTAACTCTCTCAAATGCAGACTTTTCTACTTTCCGGTACACTTGAGTTGCTATGGTGAGAGAGTGGCCTGGGACAAGTCAAATGCAAAACATTGGAAACAACACACCAATGCAGTGCAACATATTGAAGAGTTAATTAGAAGGACCTGCTGTGTGTTTCCCATTCCTTGCAACAGATTCGATTGCTTTATGATTTGTCACCTGTTTTTCTAAGAAAAGCGTTAGCCCTCCTTCTCAGCTCCCCTTTTTTGAATGTGTTAAGGATGGCTGGGAACACAGAAGGTAGGGAAAGTAAACAAATGTGTAAGCTCCCTGCTGTTCCTTCAGAAAACTTTCATAGACACACCCTATGGCCCTACTGTATCTGTCCTCTCCTGTCATTCTCCTTGTTTCCACCACTAATCTATTGCTGTTCACGTTAGGGATTATTAGAACTAATTTGTGAAAGGTTGCTCTGGAGTTCACAACAGAACAATCCACTCTGTTTACATGGCACTTCAGAGTTCACAAAGCACCTTCACATTTCATTTCATCCCATCCTCCCCACAACCTTGAGCAGTAGAAATAGCCAGGGTTACCCTATTTCGTAGTACAGGAATGGGAATGGAGGCCAAGGGAGAGGTTAATTCTTTGCCCATGGCCACTATAGTTCAAGCTCGTCTTCTGGCTTCAAGTCCGTGGCTCAGTAGTTCTCTTCACAGTTCTGCTGTGTTGTCAGTGATTTGTGAACTTAGAAGGTACAGGGCAATGAACATCTGACTATGAATCAGAAAAGAGAAGAAAGCCAGTTCTCACTCATCTCAGTCTTCTCAACTGTAAAGTAAGAAGGTTGGAAAGAGAGTTTACCTCTCAGGTCTTAACCGTTCTAACATTCCCAGCTGAGTGGTCTCACCATGAGAAAACATTGACTGAGTCTGGGTCCCTGAGAGGCAATTGAAGATACTCCTATAACATTAAATATTTTATTTTATATAGTAATGGGTTTATTCAAAGAGTTATCATTTATTCCTGGGCGTACATGATGATTCTTAACATTAGTGTTGCTGCTGACAGTTATCCAGAAGTGTCCTCTTAAAGTGGGGAGAACTCCACTTTAATGGAGTCGCTCGAGATTCAGGTGCTTGGTTAACTTTTCAGATCTAAAATTTGATTTCAGTGGTTTACCCAGAGGAGTTCAAACAGGATGATGAGGATCAGTCGGAATTTAACCAGACCAACAGTAACAATAGCCGACAATAACCAACAATAAAAATTGCTAGCATTTATTGGGCACAAATAGAGAGCATTTTTTTCTGGATTATTCTATTTTAATCTCCCCAACAACCCATGAGGTAGGTACTATTGTTATTCTCTTAGTGAGGAACTGAGACCAAGAGATGCTAAATGTTTTGCTCATTGTCTTCTAGGCCGTAAAGGCTGGACCCAGGTTTCCAACCCAGGCACCTGTGTGTAAAAAGCTGGCTCTTTACTGACGGAATTCACTAATTTACTGTTGGTGAGGTTCTGGTTGGAGAGCTGAGTGAAGGCATTCATCTTCATAAGACCCTCCCCTGAGGACACCAAGGGACAGTTAAGATTTTTCTTGGCGATCTTGGAATTAGACCAAAGATTCCCGGCTGTCTTTGAGGGTTGCATCAACCCTACAGGACCAATGATCTAGACACAGCCCGGGCAGCGGTGGAGACACCCTGAGAGTCTCATTGCTTGGCTTCAGCTTCCTGACTCCTGCAGACCCGGCCCTCTGTTACCTCAGAGTCATGGCAGTCCAGCTGAGTAGGTTACCATAAACCACGTTCCAATGTGTTTTCCTGCGGAGACATCCGGGGGCGCTCTGACGGGACTTGAGGGAGACGCTGGTGACCTTAATTGAATTTGTAAGGCATCCTGTTCGCCTTCATGGAAAATGGGGAGAAGCCCTACTCCCATCAACAGCACATTTACGACCATCCCCTGAGTGGTTTATTTCTGCAGATGGAGAAGCTCAGTCATTTTATTTTCTGATTATTTTCAATTTACTGACCAAGTTCTGGGACCGGACCCAGTTTGAGGTTTGTAACCTCTCGTGTGTTATTATAGAGAGAGATGGGGCACAATTAATGAATTCTCACTTTTGCCTCTGATTCAGACTCGGGTTTTTAAGTGGCACAGTTAGGAGTTGTATATTTAAGCGTGTCGGTGCATGTAGATCTGTGCATCGGCGCCCATAACACATTTATTCAGGAATATGCATCTTTCATCTAATATACTTTATCGCTGGAGGGCCTCGCAGTCTGACCCCCTCTTTTCATACAGCTTGTGTGCTACACTGTGACAGACTCATCTCTACCCTTTCCCTTTTTCTGCTTTTGACACAGTTCTCTCACATCAAGTATTTTTGTAACAGGAATTAGATACAACGTGATTTATCTATCTAGTAATTAATTTAATTTAACTCCACTTATACAGCACACACTGCTGTGCTGGACACTCCTCCAAGCACGTTACAAATATTGACTGATGCAATCTGATTTATAGCTCTTTGAGGTGGGTCCTATCAGTATCCTCCTTTTACAGACCAGGAAACTGAGGCAAGTTTCCTTATCTGCCGGGGGGACTGGGTTTGTATGGGGGGAGGTGGGGTGCAAACCTGCTGCTTTGATTGGGAGGTTTGTGTTTTGTTTTCCATACAAAAGAATGAGAAAAACCTGTGATGTGACAGCGCTGGGAGTCACTGAGAAAGAATGGCCATTCCTCTTGCACAGAGAAGCCAGAATCATCAAAGCTTGGATTTACTTAATGATGTATTGGTTTTATGGGTAAACGCTTACAGCTATTAAAAACACTTTTATCATTAAAATTCCTACAAGAAGCATAACTTTGTTGTTGTGATACTTAAACTCTCTGGCTTCTAACTTCTCCTTCCTTGGAAACAATTATGTGCATAATGTGATTTCTACTAAGCTGTGGTTTCTTTGGAATGCAAATATCATGTTCAAGCACCGCAGACTGTCCTTCCTAAGGCTCTTGGCCTCCTTGCCTTTGCACACAAGGTGGCTGTTGCCCAGAATATCCAGAATACTTGGTCTCACTCCTCTAGGAGGCAAGGCTCTGAGGAAGGATGGTTAACAGCAGGTGAGCTGTCCCCTGACTCACCAGGCTTCTGCTTGGGTGATGGAATCAGTTACATGTGCGGTCATCCAGGAGCAGCTCATGTATGAGCTGTGGCTTTCACCAGGATGGAAGTGTAGATGGGTTAAGAGGTAAGTAGATTGAAGCTACACTTTGGAGGTAAAATAGACAGGAGCTGGTGACTGACTGATCGTGGGGGATAAGAAAGGAATCTGCAGGGCTGGCCCCATGGTCAAGCGGTTAAATTTGCGAGCTCTGCCTCGGCCGTCCAGGGTTTCGGCAGTTCAGATCCTGGGCGAAGACATGGTACCACTCATTAGGCCACGCTGAGGCAGTGTCCCACATGCCACAACTAGAAGGACCCACAACTAAAATATACAACTATGTACTGGGGAGATTTGGGGCGAAAATAAAGCATGAAAAAAAAAGAGATTGGCAACAGTCGTTAGCTCAGGTGCCAATCTGAAAAAAAAAAAGAAAAAGAAAGGAATCTCCTATAGAATTGGAGTTGTCTGGATGTTTGTCTCTCACCTCCTTGGGTTGAGGGGCATCTGTCTTCCTAGTGCTACCCCAGTGCTTGGAATATAGTGAGCAATGGATGAATATTTATTGAACATGTGAATGAAGGAGTGATGAGTGAAGAAGATGCAACCCAACAAAGCTCTGTGATTTGCCCAAGGTCACGTAACAATTTTATGGGAGAACTACCCTGGGAATCTAGGTTACCTGAGTGTGACAGAACCTTTGCTTTATGTCCTTTTTGTGGTCTCTCTTGTCTCCCCTTCAGATTTTTAGCTCTTTGAAGGCATGGACGATGGAAAAATCAGTGTATATGAAGTTGTTATTTGGCGGTGGAAGACTGAATCAAAGACACATGTCTGTGTGCACGATTGTGCACATTTGTCAGACACAATGTGCTATACTTTTGGGGATAAGGGAGGAGGTAGTTGTGGAAAGGCTGGAAATTAACAGATACTGTAGGATTCCCAGGTCCTTCCACTGTCAAAAAATGTCAGCTTTACTTTTCTATTATCCTCATATCTGCCCTTTCTTCTCCATTCTCTTCTAGCAATGGTCCTACCTACCCCTTCCCTGGAATAACGCAAAAGCCTCCTATTTTGTCTTGTTATTTATGTGCTATTTGCCTCCTGACATAGAGTCACCTTAGCTTTCCCACTTATTAGCAGGGTGACTTTGGTCAAGGTAGTTATTTTTTTCAGAGCCTGATTTACTCATTTGTCGAAAGTAGATAATGACCAGTGGTTAAGTTTGCACACTCCACTTGGGCGGCCCAGGGTTTCGCTGGTTTGGATCCTGGGCGTGGACATGGCACCGCTCGTCAGGTCATGTTGAGGTGGCATCCCACATAGCACAACCAGAGGCACTCTCAACTAGAATATACAACTGTGTACTGGGGGTGCTTTGGGGGGAGAAGAAGAAGAAGAAAAAAGATTGGCAACAGTTAGCACAGGTGCCGATCTTAAAAAAAGAAAAAGTAGACAATGACCAAAAATACCCTACTAATACTGTGAAAAATATCTGTGTGAACCAGGCCAGACCACAAAGACTGGGCCAGGCTGGAGGACTGGAGAGACCGACCAGCCAGACTTGGCTAACGCAACTTCCTCCTTGGTTCTCTGTTGCCTTGGCTAGCACGCAATGTGAGGAGATGGAGATGTATGGTGGGGCAGGTAGCGGAGTCTCCCTGGTACACTCTCAGACTCCAGTGATTTGGGTAGCTTCTGGAGGTTTCCATGAAGCAGCTGAGGACAAGGCCTACTTCAGGATGAAACTGCCGTGTAGAATCTAAAGGGTTTTCTTGTTATTAAGGCTATTACTACTTCTAGTGCCAGGATCTGTACTATGCCAGATATTTTTGCATACTTCATTATATTTGATCAACATGACAAAGATGGAAAGTAGGTATAATTATCCTCATTTTACAGAGTGGTACTGACAGAAAGGTTAAGTAACTTGTCCAAGGCCCCCAAATCAGGGTTATTTCATTCCCAAGTGTATTAATTTCAAGTTACAGTTATTATTAAACTTTCATACTCCTCAAGGCAGGATCTGTGTCACGTAACTATTTATCCCTGTACTGCCTTGCATGTGAGGTTCTTAGTACAGATTTTTTGGTGAAATGAATGGGTAGATAACAACCTGTTTTATAGGTTATGGTTGAAAATTGAGGGACTCTGTGAGACTCTTGGAAAGTAATTAAGATCTTCGAGAAGACGAAGGTAGAGACCTGCTTGGCGGGCTAGTCCTGAATTGAACTTCAAAGTTGGGATGCAGAGGTAAGGAGGATGTTTGGGAATATTCAGTAATTTATACTTACATAAGAAACTTTATAAAGAGAATGAGTACAGAATGATCTTTATCTGAGAGGTAATATGACGACCAGGAAAAACAGCATAAGTCAAAAGCCAAAAAGAAGTCAGGATGATACTAAACCAGTGTTTCCCAAAGTGTGTTCTAGGGAACCATATACCTAAGAAACACTATCTTGCATGATACTTGTCCAAAAGAAGATCGTAAAATTAAATGCAGATGGAAACACCATATAGTAATACTCTCATGGTGTATATTAGCACATTAAAAGCTGAGAGTTCCTATAAATGAAAAAAACTAACAATAACAAAGCTCTTTTTTACGTTACCAGCATTCCCAAACGTATTTAACACATATCCTCTCCCACTATCCCTCCACACTTCACCGTCTATTGTCTTACCAAAGAACTAATGGTTATCAGAGCCCACTGAGAAACACTAAGAAGGAAATTGAGTAGTAATTTGAAAAAAATTCCTTTTTTCTTCTTTTCATGCCTTCTCATCCAGTATTCAAATAATTTTGTATTTTTTTCATGGAGGTTAGTCTATTTCATTTACTCACTCAATAAATGATTACCAAATAACTGTAAAGCATAAGACATGGTGGTACACACTCTAAATTAGTAAATCTTTGATTTCTCTGGTCCTCATGAGGAAGGGAAAGAAAGGGATGGGGAGAGATGCACAGGAATATTGAGAACCATGTTAGTCAGGACGGTCCCATCTTCTCCAGCCCTCAGAAGTTAATAATACCCAAATAACAATAGTCTAAGTCTGTATTCTACTATCAAGGATTTCAATGTTTTATTAGGTTTTCTTCCTCAAGTAATTTTTGAGAAACCTTAAGGAAACTTTTCCTCAAATCCTCCCATTCTAGCCAGGCACTTCTATAGTCCCTGGCTCTGGAACAATGCTCCACTCCTACTGGTCCCTCCTTGCTATCTTGTTGCTTCTCCAAGCTGTCATCTTTCCATTTCTTCCCAAGGACAAATAAAAATGTTTAGGTATAAGACAATTAAATCTAGATTTAGGGAAAAAAATGCTGCAGGTCAAGAATTCTGCTAATTATACTCAATTTATATGTCCAAATAGAATATTTAACATCTCAGTCTGAAGCATTTGCATATAGATATATAGATGTGTAATGAGGGAAGTGGTTGGTGCCTTAGCATTTGCATTATTAATAGGTTCATCAAAATATTACTTTCAAAATTAAAGGACAGTCTGCACCCTAAAACCCTAAAACACAGAAGTTGATTGCAAGCCTCCAAATGACAGTTTTGCATCTTGAGGAAATTTAAGATCTTGTTTCCACCAGGTATAGACGGGGCAATGTAAATATTTTGGATCAAAGAGAATTTCTATACAAGTGATGCGGTTCCTGAGTTTTGCTTACATATTCGGAAACAATAATGATCAATTTGGCCAAGCTGGAGTCAAATAGATACTAAAAGAGCAGTCAAAGAGATCCTTGGTAGAGAAACTGTGGGATAATCTGATGATTGAGTCTCCCTCTCTTGAAGGAGCTATGAAGAAGAAAAGAGATTGTGGATAATTTCATATTTTTATATGTGTATATATGTATTTGCCCATATGTCAGATGACTAGTGAGTTCCTGTGGGTGAAGAGGAAGGTCAGAGATGCCAGCTACTGGTCAGGTTCAGCCTGCATTCCTCTCTAAACCGTGCCGTGTATTTATCATGTCGCTTTCAGCTAAGGTCTTTCTCTGGAGCAGCTTCTCATTTCCAGGGTCAATTGCTCATAAAGCTATGGGCTGCTTGAAGAAAGCACAAATAATGTAGAGAGTAAACTAAAATTAGAGCAAATGAGATGGCCTTTGCCAATGGCGGCTCCCTCTCCTTCCTGTTTTTTTCTGGCTGCCCTTTATTTAGTATGCTTTGTGCGTGCACCAGCCGCTGCGTTAAGCACTCTACCAGGGTTACCTATCTTGTTTAATCCCCATGACGTGGACACTGTGCCTGTTCCTTTCTCTGAGTTGGTTGGCAGAAGCAAATGTGTATCAGCTATCTCAATGCATCCACGTCTGTTGCCAAACGAGTGAGAGGCTTTGGTGTTTGACAAATATGAGGACAACAAGTGACTATTTCCGCTATCGCTTGGAGAAGACTCAGCTAACCCCCGTCACTCTGTTCCATATTCCGCTTTATTTTTCTTCTGAGCCTATTATTTATTGGTTTATCTATTTGCTTATTGTTGGTCTCCCACCACTAGAATGAAGCTCCATTGGATTGGGACTGTATCTGTTTTGTTAGAATGAGGCCTGGAACATAGTAGGTGGTCAATAAATATTTACTACTGAATGAAAAAGGAGAAATGAGCTTTCATGGGTGTGGGTCCAATGACCTTTGGTCTGTTTTAAGAACTTTTTGATAAAGAGTGATAGACACTGGTACAGGTAAGGGGCAAGTTGCACAGTCTAAGGGAGCAGGTATAGGTGTCAATTGGAAGCTCATAGAACATGGAGTGGTGATGAGGAAATGCCAAGAAAAAGAATGAAAAAGGAAAAGATGGGAAGGGATTCATTCACAATTGCTCCATTTATCAACATGTGTTGGGTGTTTTCTCTGTCCCGGTACCTAACAGAGGACACGTGCTTGGCTAGAAAGTGATAAAATGTAAAGAGGGAGCAAAGGGAGGCCAGGAGCTGAAGAAGTTTAGAGGAAGAAAGAGGCCCAAAGAAGTCTCTCTGTGAGATATTTGTTAGGGCCTGGCCTCCTCTCGGAAGCATCTGTGGGAGTGATTTGTGGTATGTGTTAGGGAAAAGGATTACAAGAAGTTTCACACTAGCGAGACCTGCAGAGAATTTGACTCCATTGCCAAGTTTTCAGAGTCAAAGAGGGCAAAGCTAATGTTTTCTACTGATGCAGCTCTTCAAATGTCACCCAGAAAAGGAGAGCAGCTTCCATAAAGAAAAAGAGAACAAACTAACAATTATGTAAAAACTAGCTCCCTGAGGGTGAATTTCTTGAAAGTGGCAAGTTTAGAAAACCTGAGAGAACAAAGAAACAAAACAAATTATCTCGGGCTTGGCGGCTGTGGATGGTGGAGTTGGGTTCTGTGTACAACAGAACACAACAGTTGAACCGGACTCTGTCAGTGAATCACTGTGTTCCCTGTCAGAGATGAATTTGTCAGAGAGCCATTCAAAGGGTTCAGAATCCTAAGGGTCCCAGGAAGCCTGTGCCCACCCCTCCTTCTTTGTCTCAAAGCCCCTCTTCCACTGTTGACTTGGGGACTGCACTCCCGTGTCTGTGACAGGGTGTGGCTAGCTCCGGAGGCTGGAATCAGAGGAGACATTCCTGACTCCCACACACACACTGTTGCTTTCCCTTCTTTCGGTGTCGGAACTCTGGGGGACCGAATCCCAGGCTGGCATTTCTGGCCTTTCTCGAAACTCTCTGTCTGTTCTAACAAATAATATCCCTGTTATGTAAGTGATATAAGTCAAGCCAGGAACATGCCGCCCAGGGAAGGAGTATAATTTTTGTTTTGATTTCTTCTTTTCTTTTGGCAAAAACTTGTTGTTCCCATCCCTGCTAGGGCAGAAATCAAGTCCAACTTGGTGTATGTGGAGGGGACCGTTCTGCTTGACTGCACTTTAGCCTGGTGCCTGGTCCAGATGCCCCGCTCGTTATAGAGAAGCTGCCGTGGGAAAGCACAGTGTAGCTGGGCCTGGGCTTGCACAGATGCGGTGCTCCGGCCCCCACCTGGGCTCCCACAGAGCTTCAGCCGGGGCCAGGTCTCCTTAGCTGCCTGGATTGCAGACTGATAAGACCTCGCTGGCTCACACAGTGCACAGGGCCCTGTCTGAGTTAGGGGCGGGTCTGAATTGAGGGAATACTATTTGCCTAGTAGAAGTTATATGTGTCATTAAAGAGATTGTGAAATTTGTATCATCTGTGGGATTATCATTCTCCCAGCTACCCAGGCTGGAAAAATTAGAATCACTTTTAAATTTTTTCCTTCCCTTTATGCCCTAGATAGAAGCAGTCACCAAGCCCAGCATTGAAAACCATCCCTCTCAGTGACTGCCTTCCTTTTGGGCCCTGCCGTCTCCATGGCGTGGGTCATCATTGGGGAGGCAGCCGGAGGGAGGTGAGCACGGACTCTGAAGAAGGACGCTCTGGGTGTGCATTCTGGCTCTGTCACGTGACTTGGACAAGCTAACCTTTCTGTCCCTCAAGTTATTCTTATAAAACTATTGATATTACGTCTTACTTTGCAGGGCTATTATGAGAATTAAATGAAATAATATTTATAAAAATGCAGGTGACTAAACAGTGTGGTCCCAATTGATTTTATTTGATGTGATGATCAGTAGAAAAAAGTCTATAAGGATGTGTACCAAAATGTTAACGATGTTTTTATATTGAGGTGAGATTTATGGGCTTGTTTTTTTTTTTAACTTGTATCTCCCCAATCATTTTATCAAAATGTCTAGGTGTTATTCTGACAGAAATAGAAAGTCCACTTTCCCCAAGAATGGCATTCATATATTCATAGGCTTTCTCTATTTATGATTTTCAATAAAGTTTATGGACAAAACATTTTTCAAGAATATTGTTGAGAATAAGCTGAAGGTGATATCTCAGTTGTTATTCTGAAAACCCTTTGTCCATTTTGACCTTTGTGCCCCACTGACGACATCTACCACATCCAGAGGTGGTTCAGATGGCAACTGACTCAGTAGGGTGCTTCAGGAGGATGGTGAGGGAACACTTAAAGACGCTTAGGTGCGTGTGGTGGGCATGGAGACGTGCTGTCAAAGTCGAGGGTGGATTTGTTGCTCTAGGTGCTTGGAGTGTTGTCAGTAAACCGCCTCTAGCAGTCAGCTCCTTAGGGAGCTGCCTTGCCCAAGGTCAGCCATTTTGGGGGTGGCCCACTTCCAATGACTGATCCAGGCAGAGTATAAAAGCCCAGCGATTTCGGCCAATTCAGGACACCTCTGAGGGGCTATTTGCTCTGACTGTGGGATCGGCCAGGCCTGCTGGACCTGTATTGCAGCCTGTCTTCTCCCTGTGCCCACTCCTGCTTCCTTCCTCCCCCTTCCAGAGGTGTAGGTCCCAGGGGCTTTCCCTCTTTAACATCCTGAAGCCTAAATGCCTTCTCAGAGTCTAGTTGTTGGAGAGCTCAAACTACAACAATTGGATCTAGCTATGCTTTCTTTTGGAGCAGGGGTCAGTAAACTTTTCTGTAAAGGGCCAGACAGTAAATATTTTAGGCCCTACAGTCCAACTCTGCCTTTATAGCATGAAAGCAGCCATGGATAATATGTGGAGGAGTGAGCATGGCTATGTTCCAATAAAACTTTATTTACCAAAATAAACACTCAGCTGGATTTGGCCTTTGGGTATAGTTTGCTAAAGAATTACTGATTACTGACAATTACTAATTAATTTCAGAGAACTGGAAAATTCTGGAGAATTCCAGATTAATTTCTTCGTGCCTGAGATTGCATAAATTACAAAGCAGCTCATTATTATTCTCATGAATGCTGGATAAAGCCAGTAAGACAGACTCCTACCAGAGCTAGTAGTGCACAGATTCACGATCTAATGCTAGAAGGTGTCTTCTGCCCTGGGCAGAGTTATTTCCCTTTAGCCTGGTTCCTCAGCACCTTTGGCATCCCCGTCCCAGGATCCATGGAGATGGAGAAAGAGGACTCCCCAAGGGAAGAATGAAGGAGGGAAGTGGCCAAGGCCCCTGCCAGGACCTTTGCGTGTGTTATTTCACTCCAGCCTCACCACCTGTGTCACCCCCGTATTACAGAGGAAGAAATGGTCTCAGAGAAGGTAAGGAACATGGTTTTCAGAACTTGTAAACAGTGGAGCTGATTTCAAACCCAGGCGTGTCTGACTTGAAAGCTGTTGCCCTTTCTGCTACCCCAGGCTGACCTGTCGGGCTTGGCCTCACTTTGGAGACACTTCCTCTTTAAACCCTGATCATTTCTTCCCAAGAGGGCTTGGCACAAGGAGTTGGATCCTGGACCAACTCCACGGCTGTGTTCCTGGGGTTTGTTGCAGACTGAGTTTCCACGTTCTTGCCATTACCCAGCTCTGGGCTATGGTATCAGATGAGCCGCGGCTTTTGGCTCCCTGAGCCTGGCCGAATGGCGCTGGCTGTGGTGCAGTCTACTTTCTGTCCTTGCAGGTATGAGTGTGGTGGGAGCTCAGCACCAAACCCTATCACCTTCCTTCTGTCAGGCAGCTGTCATCACCCCCACAGGCCTTTTCTTCACAGCTTGTTGTCAGGAGGCTGGCCAACATCTTGGGAAGGTGAGAGAGGAAATTGGGAGGCTGGGGCTGGAGGGAATCCTGCCACCAGCGTTCTCTCTTCCCCTAGGTCTGATGGAAATAACACTGCTCCGGCACCCGGAGACCTGGCTGTGGCCCAGCCTCAGCTGCACGTCAGCGGCATGGCCCTGGGTGAGTCCCGTAATGTCTGTGAGAAGGAGAAATGTGCTAGCTTGCCTACCTGCTGCACAGGACAGTTGTAAGGATCAGCTGGAATGACATGTGAAAGAAAGCAGCTGGAGGAGGAGCCGGACGTAGTCCAGTGGTTCTCACGTGTCAGCACACATCAGAACCACCTGGATGGCGGTTAAAGCAAGATTCCTGGGGCCACCCTCAGAGTTTCTAATTCAGTAGATCTGGAGTGGGACCTGGGAATTTGCATTTCTAACAAGGTCCTTACTCATCCTTCCAGGCCCTTTTCAAGTTTCTTTGCTATAAAGCCTTCCTTTAAGTTCTATAGTTCCAGCTGATCTCTCTCTTCTGAACCTCTAAACTGGGCTATCCCTTAGTTAGTGCTCTGTGTGACGGCACCCAGGAAGACACAGCCTGAGGCTTCTCTTGGGCAGGAGGCTGGAGCCACATCCTGGCTCAGGGCAGAGTGCTGGCATTGTTCACATAGGTGTAGACGGGAAGATGGTGGCATTCATAACGGATACCTGTTATCCTTGGCCTAGAGACTCTACTGTGTTTTCTGTGCACTGGGCTTCTCTTTACAATTAAATGATACGCTTCTTGATGATAGCTGCAATGTCTTTTACTGCTGTGTCCTCTATGATGCTCGGTCTTGAGCAAATCACCCTGAGCACCAGGCTGCATCCTATTCATTTTGAGGTCTTAGGACCAGCACAATGGTACCAGGTGATGACAGCAGCTGCAAATATTCTTTACTCAATCAAGTAATAATTTTCAAACTCTGGAAGAATATTTCCTCAAGTTTTTGTTCTGGTTGCAATTTAACAACTACACACGTGATGCGCTTTTAAATTTAATCTGCATTATTAACACTTTCCCATCACTTTCTTAAGTCTAGACAATCAACAAACCAATAAACCTGGTCTTCTTTTGCAGTGTTTGCCAATTTTCGTGGTGAAAATACTCCCACCCTGGTCAGTTTCCAGCTGCCCAAGTGATGCTGCTGAATAATGAGTTGGGAGGAGACAGGCACCCCGTATAGTGTTTCTACCAGGCGGACACAGTAGACGGAAATAACCTCAAAGCACAAATAACTTAAACTTATCAGGAAGTGATGGGTTTTGAGTATTTGCTAGTTAAAAAAAAATAATTGATTTGATTGTTAGCTGCATAATTTAATCGTTAATAATGCCTGTGTTTAACACCTGGTTTGCACAATTCCTGAAAATTTAACAACTGGCTCTCATGAGTTCTCTCCAGCATAGCACTGGATGAATCGGTATGGATTTGTATAAATAGGACTCTTGGAGTTACAGCTAATAAAAGGTTAACCTAAATTACCTAAGGCAAAAGAGAGTATTTTGCCTTACAGCATTCAAAACACACAGAAGTGTAGGTAGCCTTCAGGCCGGGTGTCGTTGGGACCTATTCTCTCTCTCTCAGCTTTTCTGTCCTCTGTGTGGTGTTAAGATGCCTGCTTATAGCTCAGGCTCATCCTCTAAGGTTTTCAGTCTGGCAGGGAAGGAGCAAGTGCTTGGTCTCATCAGCTCTGATTGTGTTCCGCGTTCGTCCCTGACCCAGGCACATGGCCAGGGAAGTGAGGCTATGGACTGGATTGCGTCCCCCCCCAATTTATATGTTGAAGGCTTAACCTCCAGTGTGATGCTATTTGGAGATGGGACCTTTTGGGGGTAGTTAGGGTTAGACAAGGTCATGAGGGTGGTGCCCTCACGATGAGATTAGTGCCCTTATACGAGAGACCAGAGAGCTTCCTCTTTCTCTCTGCCACGTGAGGACACAGTGAGAAGGCAGCCTTCTGCCAGCCAGGAAGAGAGGCCTTACTGGGAACCAAAGTGGCCAGCTTGGACTTCCCAGCCTCCAGAACTGTGAGAAATAAATTCCTCTTGCTTAAGCCACTGTCTATGGTATTTTGTTATAGACCTGCAAGCTGACAAAACACTCCCCTTGGCCAGGGTCACCCTGGCAGCTGGGGTGGAATCAGTTTCACCCAAGCACGGGGACTGAGAGTGGAGAGGCAGCGATTCCTCAGAGGAAATTCCAGGTACAGTTACTAGAAGGGTGATTGGAAGCAGACAGCAAAGCTAATATCCATAGTAAGATCTCTCTCTCTCGGGACAGAAGGAATAGTTTCCTGGCTCAGAAGGTTCGGGTATCAGGGCAGCCTTTCTGGGAATGTGATCAGATCACTCCTTTTGTGTATAAGGGGGAAAAACAGGAGAGGGGAGAATGGAAGCCTTAGGGATGGCGTAGTCCAAGTAGCTCCCTGATTTGGGGGCTTGCCCTCCTGCCAGGGGAGCATGGCAAGATGTTTCTGGCACAAAGGACTTCTGAGAATTTTGTTCCCTGAGGGTTCATTTTAGCAGTTGGGTGAGAAGCTTGTGTCCAGGAATGAGAGCTCTAAGAAGGAATACCTGCTGGGGAATATCTTGCTGATACTAGGGTACCTTACTGGGCTTCAGTGTGAATTCGGGACTGACAAGACTCCTTAAGACTCATCACCACTAGGCCAAGTGAGGGCCCTTACATTTGGTAGATGAAGAGTTATGCAGGTGTCCAGAACAATGGGTGCAAACTGGAGGGTCACAGCCAATATCTCTACCGGGAAATTTTGAAACAAAAGGAGCTGGGATTACAGAGGTCAGATGTGGATGAAGCATCTTATATAAACTTCTAAGGTCATGAAAGGGAGAGAAACTTTGAATAGAACCAGATGCTGGTTTATCTGTTCCAGAATAATGACTGGTTCCTCAGGGTCAGTCAGGGCCACGGGTACAGGAGAGAATGCCAGGCTTCCTGGCCAGCAGCAATTCCAGAATTCTCCCTATCCCAGAGGTCAACAAGACATTGACTTGGTATTAGCTCTGCACTCTGGTGTCCTTTTGCAGTAGATTGGGGCTGGAAAGAACCTGTCCTATCCATGCAGTATTTACAATATGGTGAGAATCTCCTATATATTCTGGGCATTGTGCCAGATGTTGTCACATACACCATCTCATTTGATCCCCTCAACTACTCTCTATTGTAGTCAATTTTCCTCATTTACAGAAGAGAAAACAGACTCAGAGGCCACAGTTACACAGCTAGTAAGTGGCATTACTGGACTCCAACCCAGATCTCTCCGACCTCAATGGCCACGTTGGTTTCCTCCATATGCATATGAGCTGCAAGCACGGCAGCCGTTGGCTGAGCTGTGTTCATACGTGCAATCATCACTTTAACTATTCTCGAGGGGAGGGTTGTGTCTTGTTCACAGCCACACCCCCAGTGGCTAGTGGTGAAAGTTGAAAAAATACGGAATTATATATACTTTTCTTAATAACCTTCAGAGTAGAAATTTTTAAAATTTCTACTTTAGAAAAGAAGAAACTGAACCTCAGAGATTTTAAGTACTTTTTCTAAACTCTCACAGATTGTTATGCAAATTCAGGTGTAGTGATCTTTACGTTATTTGGTATGTGTCCTCCATTGACTGTCCCTGTGCTGCTTAGTTCATCTCCTTGCTGGGTGGAGAGTGAGCTGAACGTGGATGGGGCGGGGCTGGAAGTGGTGGTGAGATTTGCGTCTGTCTGGGGTTGAGAGAGAAGCCAAGAGGTAGACAGTAAGCTGGATCCAGGCCCTATCCCTCTTCAATTAGAGTTCTGCTTTATTTATTGCGATTTCTTCTTAAGATTTAATTTTTTTTCTCCCCAAAGGGGAGTTCCTTTTTGCCCTCAGGAACAGATTTCATATACAGAAAATATTATTCAGAAGTTTCTTTGGTTTTTAAAAATTAACACAATTTATTAAAGTTATATATTCAAAAACTGAGTTTTACCTTAAAGTTCAATTTACAAATCTTATTCTATTTATAAGTTTAGCAAATGTTGTCAATCACTTTTAAGGAGGCCTTTGATTAATAATTGAACCCATTTACAGACTTAAATGTGTCTAAGCTTTTTAAACTGCATTCATAAATTGAATATTTTATTATCATTTTGAAGTCCTTCAATATCTTAACAAAATAAGCCTTCTCAACTTCTTGAATAACTCTTATAAATTTAATAAAATAAACATATATACGGTGATCCTTAAGTACTCTTAACTGTTCCAAAACTGTGTATAAACTATGAAAGATTAAACTTAAATATACAAGTCTGAGTCAATTAACTACACATTTCAAATAAGAATTTTCAATGCAGGTATATTTTATAATATGGCAAATTCTCTTGATTATTACGAATACTTATACTACTAAATCGGCACAGATTTCTTCTTAATGCATAAATATTAATATTATAAGTTTGGTCCTCTTAAATATTTCTCTTCTTCATTCTAAATCTTCTCAGAGTTAAAAGATACTTACTGACTGAGGAAATAATAATGCCATCCCAAGCAATTTTGGGAGAATTCAGAGCAGTCAGCCTGGATTCTTGCCAGCCCTGTTTGTGGTCCACACCGGGAGCTTCATGATGTCCGAGCAGTTGGCCTTGTACACAGGATTGTACAAACTGGTGTGGCTGCACAGCGGCTTCTTGCCACTGGTATCTGCCCTGTTTGTTGGGACCTGCACTGTACAGGGTGTTAAGAATTTAGGGTATCACCCCTGCTTACATTCATTTTATTCCACTAAGCCCCATCCCAGGCTAGTCATGGAAGCCTACAACCAACTCAGGCTGCTACATGACTTGGCTTGATTTTGCTTTGCTTTGTCTAGGATATATTAATTTCTTTTCCATTCAGCTCCAATGGCCGTTGACATTAATGGAATTATATCTCCTTTCCATATTCTTCCTGACCAGTAGGACCACACAACTCATAGTTATTAAAATAATATCCGATTACATCCTACAAATCTCACAGCTTCTAAGGCAAAACACCTGACAATTTTACAAAGGGTTCTATTGTTTAAAAAGATGTTTTAAAACGTAATGCTGATGGAATCTTCAAGGTTTAGAAGAAAGAACAAATATTTTGGGAGCACCTGCTAGGAGCCAAGTACT